GTTACCTCTTTATCAAAATAGAAATTGTGAAATTTGGTGCACCAAACACTCTAGGCATTCTTGTTGTTAACTTAATCAAATCCACTTTTAGTTAGAATAAAATAAATAGTCAACACCTCATTTAGTTCAGGTATATTATAAATAAATGTTGCTTTGGCGACATCCTTTTTGTTTATCAAATCTTTTTTTAATACCAAATATTAATGTATTCCATTGTTTGAACTATTAATTCAACATGCATTTATTTGATTTGATTGGTTAAATTCGAAGATAATTAAAAAAATAGTACTCCCTCCGTCCCAATTTAAATTGCCTGTTTTGACTTTTGGGCATATTTAAGAAAAATTAAAAATAGAGTTGATTTTTCAAAATTGCCATTACTTTTTAGGAGGGGTGATGATAAATGAGAAGATAAGGTGAAGAAGAGTGACTTATTTTAGGGGTAGTTTAGGTATTTTATTTTTAAAAGTTTACGAAAACAACTAACAGACAACTTATTTTGGGACGGAGAAAAATTGCAAACAAGCAATTTAAAATGGGACGAAGAGAGTAACTCACAAGGAATTTTTAATTAAAGTCTCTGAACACAATGAAAATGACAAATAATACGGCGAGTATGTAATCATTTTAATTAGCACTCAATTTTACATATTGTTTGGTAACATTTTTTTATGTTTAGCTTAATATTATATGGAAAAATAAATAAATAGTATAATTTACTATTAACATTTTTAAAATTAATTTATACATTTAAAAATATTCAAAATGCTAACACTAATAGAAAAAATATTATTCCCAAGATTTTCAACTATTTTAATCATTCCAGCTAAGTGTAACCTTATACATGAGACTATAAAAAACATGGAGTAATTTACTCGTTCAAATTGCAAATGTCTTGTTAGTTGAATTTTATTATCGACCACTATTCATATTCTGTCACTCTCCTTGGCTCGAGTAGTAGGAAGACATTCTATAAAATTCACAGGAAAATTTAACCATGTTCAAATTCCAGTCAAGGTGAAAATATTGATTTATTGAATAGTATCTGTTCAATCTTAACTTTCAAGTATTTTTGAATAATTAAATAATCATTTTCAAGCATAACTAAATTTTAGAAAAATGATTATTCAGTTACTCGAAAATGAATATTCTGTTGATCGAAAATGGATATTCACCTACTTTCTCGTAAATGAGTACTCATCGCGGATGTACGAAAAAGATCATATAACTGATTATACGGTATATATTGCGACATACCTAGCATAGTATTTGTTCAATCTTAATTATAATATTGACCTCTTAAACACATGGACTCGATTAGAGCACTAGACATAGATAGACTTGGAGTGGTCACTACGTCAAAATGCTTCCACACACATTCATAATATAAAAAGACTAATGTATAGAGTTTTGAACATTAATAAATGTAGTTCTAATCTAAAAAAATTTAACAAAATAAATGTTACAAAAATTTGATACATCAAAATAATTTCTTAAAACAAACTTAATTATAGGAGTATTAAACTAATATTATAACTAAATAAACTTTTCAATTCCACGATCTGTT